TGTGTAATGTTATTCTAATGAGTATGTCCACAGTGGTAGTTACACACAATATATTTTCATTGTTAAATTACACACACGTGTGTTTCTGAGACACTAACAGAGAAACATGGCCGTCACACGTGACACTGCTGGAAAAATTCACTTTTCAACCAAAGCCAGTGAGAGGAGACAGTTTTCCCGTTATCCCTCTGACAGTCTCCATGTTCTGCTCACTCAGAAATGAAGGACTTCAGCCGATAACAGAAACTTTTTTTTTCTTTTTTTCTCACATCTCTTCTTCTCTCACCACAGACTCAGAGACAAGCTGAAGAGCAGAGGCAGAGATGGATCCTCATGGGAGCTGTGGCTGCGTCCTGGTGCCCACCACACCAGACCAGGGGCTTCGTGGTTGGAGGAGGGAAAAGTTGCACAGCGGATTTGATTGGAAGGTAAACAAAAACAAATGATCTGGTCCAGACTTCCTGGATGTCTTGAATTTGGATGTCTATTAATAATTAGATAATCAAGTTCAGGACATGTCCACCTGGGACGTATGTATATCCTATATATATGATGTATGTCTTCTGCCCCCTACTGTACTGGAGGGCATTTTATTTTTTCAAATTATTTTTAAATTTTGTAATGAATCTAAATTCAGAGATAGATGTTGTAAGGAGTCTAAGAAGAAAGACAGAATGAATGAAACTGAAGAATATATAACTCGTTTTTCTCTGCTGTTCATTCATTTCCATTCCAAGCAGAATTTTAAGTCTATTACTACATTGAATTATTTCCCCAAAAAACCCTTAAATAAAGATTTAAGGAGTAAGTTTCTTGCCCTGGTGTGCACAGATACAGATAAATATATAAATATATACATGTTTTTCTATGGTTTTTGTTGTTTGTTTGTTTGTTTGTCTGTTTTTCTCACTGACCTCTTCCAATCAAATCTGCTTGTACAAATGCAGCCCCCGGTCCTTTGTCTGACACATCACTACCTGGAGCTTTTTTTTTTTTACCAGGTCGGGGTCTTCATGGAAGGACTTTGACTGGACTTGGATCAAGACCCAAGTCTTCTGTCTGTTTCAGGTGCTGGATTTTCAGTGAGAAGAATATTTTAAATGAAAAAAATGATGATAATAATAATAATAATAAATAAAATAAAAAATTTGGACCTTTAGTTTTCACTCTGTCATTAGAATTCTCACGTTTGCCTGTAATGCTTCGTCCCCTCAAGACAACGCTGTTTCCTGTGCCTGACGTCCTAACAGCGGACTGGAGAGTGCTTAATAATAAGAATAATACCAATACTACTAATACTAATAAAGTCCTGCTTCTTCCCCAGTAACAGATAAATCCAAAGCTTCCATTGTTGGCCTGTGGAAATAAAAACCAGACTGAAGACATGTTTCCGTCTTTTACCGCCACAGGCCAATAACACAAACCGCTACTCTGTCACAAACACAGCGCTAACTCCTGCTCCATCAGCCAAGTGAAGGGTTCCCTGTTCATCACAGATGCACCACCAAACATGTTTGTCATTACAGTGTTTTAGGCCCGAGGACTCCAAGCCAGTGAGGACAGCCTTGCCGATTACTCTGTTCTAGGATACCCGACTTTGGTGACATTGAGGCTGACCTTAGAGTCACCTCCCCCGCTGCCGCACTCTCCCTTGTCGTACCACCATTTGTTTTTCAATTTGTCCAAGAGGCCTTGTTCATTCAGTTTTAACACTGCCAGGTTAACAGCATTTCTTGAAACGATAAAACATAGCTTGTAAGAAAATGAACAGGTTCCGTGAGAAATCTAATACGTAGAATATTAGTGAAGAGGATCAATGGTTCATCAGGGGAGCACGGGGAGGAGGGGGGACAAATTGGTAAAGAATTTCAACTGGTGGGTGTGGAGAAGGGGTGAGGAACATTTTTACAGCAAAGAAAAGGTTGGATATCAGAGAGGTGGCATGGAGGGTCACACTGATTAGAACTCAAGTGTGCGGGGACATGGGGGACATTCTGTCATCGCTCAACCAAAAATACACAACATCAAACATGCGGCGTCTAACATTCACCACTGACAGAGCGGCGTCTGGGAAAAGCAGTCGTCAAGGAAACACGTCAGGGTGGAAGTAGAAGCGATGCAAATGGGCAGCAGAGAAATTTGGGAGGATGGAGAGGGGAGGGGTGGGGGGAGCAAAAATAATGGAGAGTAAAGAGGAGAGGAGACACGAGGAGGAGCACATCAACATTCAGATGGAGCGGCTGCAGGTGACTGGTCGACAGACAGGCGGTCAGAGAGAGAGAAGAAAGACACTGGACAGAAAGAAAAATGGCCGACACGTTGGTTGAATTCAGATCACAGAAAAACAAAAATACAATTCATTCATTGATGCATTTAAAAAAAAAAAGAAAGTAGAAGAAGAAGAATTAAGGAGCGAGGAGGTGTGAGAAAGGAGACATCAGGGTAGGTGGAATCCTATAACAACAGGGAGGGTATTGTTATATTATCCCACCCACCTTAATGCAGAGCCTTTGGGTGTGGCCACGCCATAACCCTTAGAGTCGAGGTTACCGCCCACTTTCATGGTGTCACACGGCTTCCGCTGCTCGATGTACTCGTTCATGGTGGACTCCAGCAGAAAGGCGAACTTGCCCTTGGACTTCCGCACACGGGTCACTCCGTCCGGGGTGGTCTTGGCGAACACGGAGGGTTCTGCCGATTTCATGTACGACCACATCTTCTCATAGACCGCTATTTTGGAGCGCTGCGTTAAAAGAGGAAACGGGAATTAAGTACAGCTTAAATAATGATTTAAAATTTTTAAACAATGTGGGAGTAACTTTTTAAAACCATTTCATCACAGATCCAAACATAAATAAATCACTTCTCCACCACTGACGCCACAGCAGGCGTCCTCCGTCACGTGATCACCTGCTGTCGCCCCATCTAAACTGTACCGTCCAGGCTCATTTTCACCGATAGAGGGCAGTGTTCAGACGCTCTTGTAATTCCCAGGTTTTTTGTTCAGGCTTCGGTGCAGCAGAGGTGGTGGCCTTCTGCCAGCAGCCTGAGGTCTGACAATCTGGAGCCTCAGCAGAAGCAAACTGCTCAGCATGTCTGCTTTTTTATGTATTAACAGCCCTGGCCGGACTTTCTCCTCCTCCTCCTGCTGGTCAGTTTTGTCACAGCAGGGCAGACTGTTTATGTCACGTGATGTGGACGATCACGGAGGTAAAACACGATAAAAAACAATTAGGTTCAAATGTAAATTATATACTCTCAGGTCTGTGGACACGTTATACATTAGAGAAGAGAAACATAAGGGTCGCAGACCACAGCCAGGGCCACGCCTGTGTAAGTTACTTATTCTTCTTCTTGTTTCCTCTGCAGTCAGGAACAAATGGACCAGTCTGATTATCACAGGCCTTAGTGAGGAATCCTCAACACGAAAACTCTGAAGTAGAACAAACCCCAGGACTGGATCCTTATCACCCTCCCCCCCCCTCGCCC